ACTTTTAAAACAAAAAAACCATCAAATATCTGATGGAGTTTACAATATAGTCAGAAAAATAAAAAGGATTGGAAAAGGAAATAAGCATAAAGTCGGCAAATGTCATATTAAAAAGTACAACTTATATACCTCATGCTTGCAAGAATATTTTCTGGTTTTGCAATAGATGATGCATTTTTTTAGTCTTCTTAATTCAAATGGAAAAATAAGAACTAGAAAAAAGCATAATAATCTATTTCCTGGTCCCTTTTGTAAACTAGACATTTGAAATTTGTATTGTGAGATGGCAAGCATTTTAAAGGCAGACTCTGTTCCTTGTGATGGACAAAGGACTTCTGAAAACCTTCCATCTTCAAATTCCCTTTAAAAATTTGATGAAAGAAAAAAATCCTGACATTTGTTTTTTTCCCAAGACATTTTCTTCAACTTCTTTCATAACAAAAACTCTAGAATGCAGAAAGTTTTTCTTCACAAAGTTTTATGCTCAGCACAATTCCAGAATCTTGAAATAATAACAATAATTTAAAAAATACTTCTTTTTAAATTTTTAAAAGATAACAATTATTTCTATAGATTATTTCTGTTATGTGGAATGTATACACAGAAAGACACAGAAAGTGTCACCCGCCTTGAGCCTCAAACTAGATTTTTCATTCTAGTAATAATTCTTTAAAAAAGTTATTCTTTTATTACTGGCCTGAGGCAAATTCAACTGAGATTATGCTTCTCCAGGGAAAAGAAGCATTTTCTGAAGCAAAAGTACAGCTTATCTGAGTATGCTGTAAAATCTGAAGATATTTGTCCTCTGAGTCATATTAGCACAGTCCACAGAATTCCACAGTTCCTTCTCTAGCACGTGTATCACCTGCATACATGAGATGAATACCTGTTTTGTGATCTGCTTAAGCTTTCTATTACCAGATTTTAGCTGCTCTTAAATTTGGCTATGATAGTCCTATCTCTTGTTAGACAATTTCAAGCTCTCTTTACTAACTTTGATTAACTTAAAGACTTTGACAGATCCTTATGACTCTAGATTTTGATTTTGAACTCCATCTTTTTGACCTTTAGGACTCTCTGTGGTCTAATTCTCCTACATCATAATGATTTATGATTTTCTATATTCAGTGAAAAGGCCTTCAGTCCTAAGCCTCTGGCCATCTATTTTCATATACTGAGTGCACTTCAGCGAGAGATGCATCTTTAAAATATCATCATGATTTTCTCTCTTTGGAATATTTATATGCATCAAAAGATTTATCACTATTATTTTATAAAATGCTAAGTTGAAAATAATGGCAGGAAACTCTACTGAATCCTGATAAAAAATATTTAAGTGTCTTGGCTGAGATCTGCTATAAGACAGATAAAGCCAAGGCATCAATTGATGAGAAACATGCAAAAAGCAAAACACAGGCAGCAGCCTCCTGCTGTGATATTACAGCCTAGGAGCAATACAATCAAACTAAAAGGAAGAAAAACCGTTCACTAAAAATTATGTGGTATAAATCATTAGGTGAACACAGACAATAGCCATTAATATGGTAAAAGTTGCAAGATGAGGACAGCTAAATAGATTAGAATTGGCTCTACTGCAGTCTCACAGCCTGGTTGCAGATTGAAAAACAGAAGAGGCAGGTTCTCCTAGGACATTAAATCTGGTCCCCTGATAATGCTGGCAAACATGCTGTAAGATTTCCTTTCTTAAGCCTTATAAAAACAGTTGTTGTTTTTCTCCCCAGATTCCCTACTGAAAAATGGTTCTTAAAACAAACAATCAGCATAGTTGAAAGGGGTCCCAAGACAGTATTTAGTCCTCCTTACACCTCTGATGCATCAAAAATTTCTTGTCATTTCATGATGAAATGAAGCCTAACATAGTTACTGTCTTCTTAAGTAATATGTTCTCCAGTCCCCTACCTACACATTTTTCTTTCCCTCTTCACAGACCACAGACACTGAAATATACAGCTGCAGAGGGTCTATAGCAACTCATGCTATTCAAATGTTATGAACGTTTCAGAGACTTAATCCTTACTGAAGAAGGTAAACAAGAAACCTGTAGAGTCTCTTTATAGATTAAAGCTATCATCTAATGGCTGAAAGAGAGAACTGGACATCTTAAGGCTCTGAGTCTACTTTCAGCTATGTCTTTAATTCTCTTGTTAAATGTTTGGTTCATAAAGTCCTAATAAAATAAACATTAGACAGGGCAGATTACTACCACTTTCATTGCAACTCTTCTGAAGAATATTTTCCAAGTCCTCAGAGATAGTCAGTATAAAAGTTTTTGAAATAAATTAAACTCACAAAGTATCTTTCACCACCTAACTTGGTCATCACTACAATCATTAAAGAATAGAAAGTAGTAGTAATAAGACATTAATCTATCCTTCGTTCACTATTGTAAAAATCCATAATTCTAACTGTTTTGAAAGATGCATACCTACAACAATAAATGCAAAAATTTGATTGAAGCAGAAGAACCTCTGATGAATAAACAAGTTTCACATTTCTGCTCCTCATTCATACAATTTTATTAATATTTAAATATTTAATCCATTCAACAATTACAAGAAGGCATAAAAATATTTCTGATTGCTCTTCCCTACATAAATGAAGCAATCTCTTAGGAGAAATAAAGTGCTTTCTTCTCCAGCTACACTTATTGACAAGGCCCTGCTATGGCTGCAAAACCTCAGAGTCAAGACAGGGAACTTCCAGGTTTGAACTCACTGAACTTAAACAGAACAGACTTTAAACGTGAGCCCTTTGTATTTCAAGAACACCAGGAGTTATAGAGGATTTCTACCCTCGGTGGATTTCCATTGGTGCCTAAGTTTGAGCAAGATAACTATGTACTCCAAAGCTAAGCACTTTTTTTTTTTTAAACCATCAACACAATAATTTTCTAATTAATATAAGAACCCCAAAACATTTTCATAGCTGAACTGGTAACTGTTCTGTGATGGAGCAGAGGTGGTGTTAATACTGTTAATAAATTACAAACCCCAACAACATTAACATTGAATCGGTTATAATAAGAAATATTTACACTAAATGTTTTCCTACTTTCCTCATGGAACTTTCCGAGAAAATTAGAGCTATGTATTTTTCATTTCAGACCACAGGAAGATTCTGTGCAAAACAAAATACCACTTTCTTTCACATTATTGTGGGATAAACAGGGATCAATGAGACAGAAAACCTTCACATTGTGCCCTTTTCTATGCTAGTCAGGAAGGTTTAACAACATATCTAGACCACAGGTTTGCTTTTCTGTGTACCCTCTGTGGAGACAAATATTTTGGAAAACTTGGTATATTTCTAAGTTATGGGGGTAATTCTTAAAGTTCAACTGAAACAAAAGAACAAACCTGTTGGATGTTTTCAATCTACTGAAAATGCAATTCTGTCACCAAAATAAATGTTAACAAGAGAACAAATCCTGAGGAAATGCATACAATCTAAAAATTAGAAAAAGGTAATAAATTGTCCTTTCTTTAGTATTGAATTACTGCCAGTCTAACAAATAGAGCACCAATGAAACCTCAGAATTAAGCTTACTGTTGGAAATTAAGGCATGTAAAAACTGGGTTAATAGGTGAAAAAAAAGTGTATTTTTCTTCTAATTCTTAAATGTTCTGGAACAAAGTTGAGTATGTTTCTCAGTGTGGAACATTAGGCCTGTCCATTAAGCACAACATGAGTAAGCCAAACTCATTTTTCCTTTGATCTGAGCTCACTTTTGGTTGCTGGTGAGATTACCACCACCATTAGTCATTCACCAGCAGAATCTGTCTTCCACAGTTTTGACCACTTCAAATTTTCTACCCTCTTCAGTGACACTACAGCACTAGAATTCAAATTATCACGAAACAGCATCCCAAGGTTCATTTTTTGACATTCACCTACACCACTAAGACTTTGCTTCAGCTTCTCACTGTCCTAGAATAATATTCCTTTCTCTGGTTTTGACAGGAATATTCACACCAAGGTTCACACGTACCATAATGCAGTGAACATGTCACTGTTCTCTCTGTGTCTCTGCTACGTTTCTCTGCTTCACCCATATACTACTATGCGTCATCTAATTTTGAAATTCCCATCACTCAAAACCTACCACCTATATTTATTCAGATAGAAGAAAAAGCCCTTACATGCTTTCTCACATGTTTCTCTTCACAATTTGGATATCCATAAAGCATTTCTATTTATTCAAATCATCCCACTGTAGCTTTAAAGCCTGACTGCTGCTAGGCTGCTGAAGAGCTAAGATCACTACTGCTATCAGCACTTCCTGGGGCTTCCATGTATTCACTGATTGGCTTCCTCATGTATTTAGATGTGAAACTTTTTTTTTGTGCTGTACAGAACCTGATAATCTGGAGTCCTGGGCTCATAGCTAGAGTTCCTATGTACTCTGGTTATAAACATAAAAACCACCATAAACCTGCAAAGATATCTACACCTGCACCAAGCTTGCCTAAGGAAGCTCATATTCTAGATGATACTGTGAAAAAGCTGAATTATGTATTTCTGATGGTTAAACTATGTGGATTTCAGCACACACAAGCGACACAGAGACAAACACACCCTGATGACTACTCATGTTAAGGGTAGAGCTTACACACATACACAGATCCATAAGGACATAGGGCATTAGTGATATGACAAGAGGAAATGGCTTTGAGTGGAGCCAGGGGAGGTTTAGATTGAATATTAGCAAACATTATTTCAAGGAAAGAGTTGTCAAGCACTGGAACAGGTTTCCCAGGGAAGTGGTGGAATCACCATCCCTGGAGATATCTAAAATATGTGTAGATGTGATACTTGTGGACATGGTTTAGTGGTGAACAAGGCAGTGCTGGGTTAAAGGTTGGTCTTGATGACCTTAGAGGTCTTTTCCAACCTAAATGATTCTATGCTTATACGACATAGAGAAACCCACAGAATATGGCCATAGATATTTTCTTAAGGAAAAGCTGAAAATTACTTACCACGCTGCAGCCAGGACAGTCAGGACCATTTTCACATGTCCTACGCCGTGCCTGGATCCCTCCACCACATTGAGCAGTGCAGCGCTCCCATGGACCCCAGCCTGTCCAAAACACATGAGGGGGGCACAACAAATGCTCATTGCAGTACCTGTGAGAAAAGGCAAACAAGGAGGCAAAGAATCTATTTAATGTCAAGACAAGACCTCCTAGAAAAGTCCCTTATTTGCATTATTCAGATCAATGTTTGTACAGGGGAAATATTTCATACAAAGTGTCTCTCTCTATTCATTAAGTACTGAACTAACAGTTGTCACAATGCACAGTGTTTAAACATTTGAGAGAGTTTTCTTAGGCTGTAATTGTGTGGGTGAAGCATTTGTTTGCTTTATTCAGTGACTTCATACAATCCATGCAATGCAACCATGTTATTGTAGTGTGAACACGTAAGCAAGGTTGACAACTACTTTATTAAAACCAGCTGTGATTATACATCTGGGACAGGCAACCAAACGGAAAGCAACCATATATGCAGGCAGTCTTTTATCAGACTCCAGCGAAGCATTGATTAGGATCCATCTCTCTTGTCTTCAGAGAGCTAAACTTGCTTTTTTTGCTTTCCACAGCATCTCTGCTTGTATGGACAAAATAAAAGCTAAAACATTGATTCTAGGCATAAAGAACTGCACTGTTTTCATAATGTTATTACTTTATCTTTTAAAGGGTGTTTTTAGCCAGAAGCCTAAAATCCTTTTAGCTTGAAGGATTTCCCACTAGGCTGCAAACTGATCCAGAGGCCTACTAGGTTCTTGAGGGAAGCAGGAATATATTACTACTGAGCTGTCATTATTGTAACAAGACCTTCACATATGTGTGATGGTCCCAAATTTTAGTGAGTTTTTTCATTTTTAAAAAAAAACTAAGATTCCTGATTTTTTGAGTGTGCAATCCAATAACTCTAGCCATAGCAGATGGTGCTCTTTAAGGAACCTCTACAAAGGTCCAAAGGATTTGGGCTACCAGCAACTGTGACTAGGGCTCTCTAAGAGACCAAGCTGTTACTTCAGATAAAGCAAAGCCACAGCTTATATTCAGAAAACAGACAACCCTGAAGAAATGCTCTAATATTTTATGGCTGTGTCTGGATAGCTCTGACTGTCCTGAGTGAACAAATCAATCTGTTACAGTATTTCCTCAGTTCTTATACCAGCCATCCAAAATCCACTGTCTTCTTGCCCTTCTAAAAAGTTTCTATCACTTTGCACTCTCCTGCAATGAAAACTGGCTCTAATACGCCAGTTATTCATTTTCTACAAAAAGAGAAATGACAGTATAAACTTCTGTGATTTTCAACACCAAAACCCTTCATTGTTGGGTTGTTTTTGTCTCAGAAACCCCACAGACCCTCAAGCTCTAATTCTTCATTACTCAGGAATTTGCACATTCAGAAGTCTGTGGGGGGGAATAAATGTTGTTGGTACATGTTACATACAAAAGTAGGTTTATTGCATATGCTGGAGTCTGTGATTCAGACTTTGTCCCTACATCCAAGCAACTCCATCAAAATTGAATGGTTTGGGAGTGGGGTAAATAGGTGAGGGACATTTAGTTTTTTTGTCTTTGTATTGCTAAGAAAATTATTAAGAGCTCGTATTGACCTTTCTTCAGCAAACTGAGGAAAAAACTCCAAAACCATCAATATTTATGAATCTGGTTTCTCAGAATTCTTCAGCATGTGATTTGGGTAAATGTTTTTCAATAGTTGCTTATACATAAACTATCATTTTTTCTCCTGCATGTTCAATATTTGCAATTCACAGTTCACATTATGCCATCATTAAAGATGCATGGGAATGTTCTGTGCCTGGATATTCTTCTCCTAGAACTCCAACAGCTGCACACATTCTTTGCCACATGCAGTCATTTATGTGAATATTTGTGATAGTTTGTCTCTGTGATCATTTGTTGGGAACCTGTACTCGGTGAAAAATAGATGTAACATCAGCATTTATTCAGTCAAATTAGAAGATATTTTGCATAATTCCATTAGTCCTTAATGAAGATGCGCTAAGTTAATTTGGGACACACACATAGGGTAAAGCAAGTCTGCCATGAAGCTGAGAATTACCAATATTCAGCCATGCAAAAAGTAAAATTAAAGAACTTGTCTTGCCTTAAAATACAGGCATGTACAGTGTAGCTGTCTAGAAATTAAATAGTCATCTAAACTTGAGCAACAACTCATGGAAAGAAACAATCCTGTTAAAAATATTGTTTATGTCACCCTAAAGAAAGTGTCTAATGTGGGGCACATAAATACACTCCTCAATGTACAGATTTTTCTTCATTGACTATAGATGCTGCATGGGAGACAGACATCTAAGCTCCCGTTACAGCCAATGGAAATTTTGGGAATACGAATGATGGAGACTAGAATGATTAATTTGGACAAATTTAGGAAGAAACAGTAGAAGAAAATAAATCACTGTTCTCCATAGCCTGTATTGACTAGATTTCTACTGAGCATAGTGGAAGTTCAGACTGTTCAGACACCTGACTCACACATAAGCACTCACATTTGTGAACACCTGAAGTCAGATGTCGCTGATCTCACTTGGATGAGAGCCATGCCACTATGCAAGTGCCTCTTTCAGTGTCTATGATGTGCCCTATCACCCACTCTCACTTAAGCAGAAGACAGAAAAGAAACCTAATAACTGACACAGGAAGCATTTCAAAGGGTTGGCAATGCTGTTAACCAATGCTATTCAAAGATGCAGCTGAAAAAAGCCCTAAAATTTCTATGCAAACTACTTCAGTTTAGGAAATAATTTTTAAAAGAAGTTAATGCCAGAAGTGTCAATTTTTCCTTTTTTTTTTCAGGAAAAGAAAAAAACAAAAACCAACACAGCATACAAGTAGAATCTTATTTTCATTTCAGCCAGCCAGTCTCTGAAAACATCAGGTATGTTTTCACAGCTAGAGACATGCCTGCAATTGATCTTTGAGAGCTGTGCTACAGCATGGGGCTTTGAGCCAAGTTTCATTATATCTGTTCTTGGCTGCATTTCAAGTCACTCAGCAACTCTTTTTCCCTTTTGCTCTTTCTTCCCCTCTAAATTTTGTTCTCAGGGCCCACAGGGCTAACGTTTTACAGTAATTCAACAAAACATGCAATGCAAGAGACTTGAATCTGTGAAACTGCTGCCCTCTCCCCTAACCTAATTGCAATGAGGGCAGAAGGGAGAACAGCCTAGAGAAATGTGGGTTTTATACAGTGACCCTTCACGTTTCCCCTTGTGGTGAACCCAAGTTCAAATGTCTCAATAAAGGAATTGTCATACTGGGGGAAAGGAGAACATCCTCCGTCCAGCTGTGTCCACAACTACTAGTTCCTACAGTTTTCAAATTTTACACAGGATAATTTCAGTACAACTGGCATTACTATTCTTATTACTATGAAGTTCTCAACTTTTAGTAAAACATCAATTTATTCAATTTATTTCAGTGTTGCCATGCGCCACTGAGTACTACAAGCTAACTGCATGACCGTTAAAAATATGTACTGTTTATTCCACAGAGATATGTTATTTAAACAAATACTTCCTAATTTTGAACTATGTTATACTAGCCTGAATGTAAGAAAAACAAAAGAACCTTCATCCCTGTCTGCCCATTCCTACGCAATACACTTATGTGGTGGGTAGTCATGATTACCAGCTGGTAACTTACTGGGAAGCACTGACTATACTAAGGCTGATGGGAATGCCAGATTCCTTTAATTGAAGGCAGACACACGACACACACATGCCCTACTGAATTGAGATTGCCAAACTGACAGAAATACCCACCAAGGAGACTGTGGAGGTGGCAGGGGCTGGGGCATGTGGTCCCAGGGGTTTCTGTGGAAGAAGAGGAGGGAACCGAAAAAGCAAGGACAAGAGCACACAATTCCCAGCAGACAAGATACCCATGGGAGTGCAAGCAAGCCCGAAGCCTCATGGTGTTTGATCTGCTCTGCTGAAGGAAACTGGGCTTGCTTGCACTGCTCGGAAACAAGCAGTGCTACACAGAGCAGGCACTTGACTCTCAGCAGTTCCTCTTTCTCATGGAAACAAGCCCAAAAGCTGAATGTCTGCTGAGGACTGTGTACAAAAAAAACGTGACAATATGCACTGCTTCTAATCTTATATGTCCCAAAATTTCCAGGGCTTTCAAACATTTACTCCTCATCTGCAGCCAATTTTTCTAATTGCAATGCTTTTTTTCTTTCTATTCTTTCCTGTGTAATAAAAGATAAGTACACACACTGAGAGCAAAGGA